AACTTTTATTTTTTATGTGTTTATTTTTGAGATGGAATCTCACTCTGTCGCCCAGGCTGGAGTGCAATGGCATGATCTCTGCAACCTCTGCCTCCTGGGTTTAAGCGATTCTCCTTCCTCAGTTTCCCAAGAAGCTGGGATTACAGATGCCCACCACCACGCCTGGCTAATTTTTTGTATTTTTGGTAGAGATGGGGTTTCACCATGTTGGCCAGGCTGATCTCAAACTCCTGACCTCAAGTGATCTTCCTGCCTTGGTTCCCCAAAGTGATGGGATTACAAGCATGAGCCGCTGTGCCTGGCCTGAATCTGGGGAACTTTTTAGATAAGAACTTTATGAGTTGGGAACTGTACCCATTTTACAGATGAGGAAACTGAGGCTCCAAGAAGTTAGGTGATGTGCCCAAAGTGGAGTCTGCACCTGTCTATACTGAATACATTCCCAGGTTAGAACCTGGAATTTATGCTAACTAACCACTGGCTGTGTCCCTGTCCTGACAGAACTCATCCCCAAAACTTCCACACCTCAGCTGCATGTGTGTGTGCCGCCAATGTCCTGTCCCTGTTCCTGCACGCTCCTAGGCTCGCCTCAAGAGACCACAGGAATTCTGATGAATTAATCTCATCACTTTATCGAGGAGGCACTTAAAAAAATTACAAAGCAAGGCCGCCAGCCTGGCTTTGCTGGCAGCCAGCCGCTGGGGCCATAAAACAAATTGAAAGGAACCAAAATAAATAAATAATTTATTTATTTTGACACACACTGACACACACACACACACACACACACACACACACACACACACACACACATGCATGCAGGCTGGCCCCCAAAGGGTGAAGAGCCTGGCTGGGGACTTGCTGTTAGTACTTGGTCCTCTTGTCCTGGGAGAGCACCAGTACCAGCTCCACACACACACTTCCTGACCCCCCTGCTCTGAGCAGCAGCCTGTGGCCTATCCTTCCTCAAAAGGTGACAGATTGGCTGAGCAGCTGAGAGCAAAGCATGGGAAAAGTGAAGAACATGCAAAGGGTGTAGGGGTCCCAGGCAGCTGGAGCTGTGAAGCCCATGGCAGGCCCTGTGAGCTCTTTGCACAGTGGCTCAGAGCAGGCTGGACCTGACAGGCTGGGTCCCAGTCCTTGCTGTCCCATACCCTGGATTCTGTTCACCTTCTCTTCTTTTTTTTTTTTTTTTTTTTTTTTTTTTTTTTTTTGTTTGTTTTTTTGAGAGTCTCGCCCTGTCGCTGGAGTGCAGTGGCACAATCTTGACTCACTGCAATCTCGGGTTCCTGGGTTCAAGAAATCCTTCTTCCTCAGCCTCTCAAGTAGCTGGGACTACAGGTGTGCACCACCACACCTGGCTAAGTTTTGTGTTTTTAGTAGAGACGGGGTTTCACCAGGTTGGCCAGACTGGTCTCGAACTCCTGGCCTCAGATGATCTGACTGCCTGGGCCTCCCAAAGTGCTGGGATTACAGGTGTGAGCCACCGCGCCTGGCCCCTCTACTCACCTTCTTATCTGTAAGATAGAGAAAAATCTATTTACCTCCAGGGTTGCTGGGAACATGAAAGCCTCAGGATCTGTAGAGCAGAGCTGTGGCTACTCCCTAACAAGCACTGGCCAGTGTGAGCTCCCCGTGTGTGCGCATTGAGTGGCTTGGTGTCCCAGGCAGTGAGACTAGAGAGGAGCTGGAGTACGTGGAGAAGGGAGAGAGATACAACACAGGGGACATTAATGGGTTATCAGCACGGAGAAGGAGCGCCTGCTGGGGGAACAGAGGGTGGAGGAAGCATAGAGAGTCTGTTCTAAGCTGCAAAGCAAAGGCCTGGCAGCCTAGGAGACCATGGAGTTCCAGGAAGTGATAGTTATGCAGAGCGAGTGGAGGCAATCAGCATGTTGAGGCTGCAGAGAGAGGGTGGACCTGGGTGGGGACGGGCCAAACCTTCCAGTGCCTTCTAAGCCAAGATAAAGGCTTGGCTGAATTAGCTTTTATATGTGTTTCCCTCCTTTCTGTTTGTCTTTCAAATTTTACCGGGCTTATATGAATATTGAAATTATTCCCCAAGAAGCCACCCAAGCCAGAACGCTCTAAGAAATAGTTAGGGCTAGATAAAAGCGAAGAGGGGTACAGAGAATCTTCATCCCTTCCCCTTCCCATCACCTCCCATCCTCCAGCATGGAGCATGACCTCCAGCTCCCTCCCTGCAAGAAATGGGATGAGGAAAAAGGTGATGCCTGCTGGACTTGAGAGAGGGAGAGAGGGGGAGAGAGGGAGAGACAGGGAGAGAGATGGAGAGAGGGACAGAGAGGGAGAGAGAGAGGGAGAGAGGGAGAGAGGGAGAGAGGGAGGGAGAGAGAGGGACAGAGAGGGAGAGAGGAAGAGAGAGGGAGAGAGGGACGGAGGATCGCTAGCCTTCACCTGTAGATCTCCAAGGTGCTCCGGAAATAGTTTTCCTCAACGGTAAGAAAGGATGAGAATACGCACTGAGCCATCGTGAGTACTCAATACAGTTAGGCACATTGAGTAATTTTGCTACCTCAAAGCACTTTTTAATGGTAGAACATGGTTCATGCTTGTTCCCAGAAAATCCAATAGAAAAGGTTTCCATCTATATCCCATGTGGGGAGGTAGTGACACAGGGAAGTCCAAGGCCACCCTTCCCACCAGGCGACCTCAGCTGCCGCGTCAGCACCAGGTGCCTGTCCTTAGGGGGCAGCGCTTCCAATTTCCCCATCCTCCTTGTGAGATGCAGGGTGGGACAGGAGCTCTGTGTGGCCTTGGGTAACCCGCTTCAGCTCCCAGAGCCTCAGTTTCTTGGTCTGTGAAATCGGACACTGATGTACCTTCAGAGGCTGTTGTGAGGACTGAGGGAGCTGGTGCAGATTGTGCACACAGTAGGTGCACAGTAAATCTTAGCTGCTATTCCTCTGAAGTGGGTAGGGTTTAGTGTGGAGGATTCAGATAGGCGAGCCTCCAGCTCCTCCCTGCTCCCTCAGGAAGTGGGTGTCTGGGTGGGGCTGGAACGACAGATGTGTTCTAGTTGGGAGATTCTGTTCTGAAAAACTCTGGCTCAGGCTGACCTCAGTGACTTTGGGACTTTGGGAGCCAAAGAGACACCATAACAAAACAGCACTGTGATGTGCTGTTTTTCATTTGTACCTTCCAGTTGCATTTTTTTTTTTTTTTTTTTTTTTTGAGACGGAGTTTTGCTCTTGTCACCCAGGCTGGAGTTCAATGGCATGATCTTGGCTCACTGCAACCTCCACCTCCTGGGTTCAAGTGATTCTCCTGCCTCAGCCTCCCGAGTAGCTGGGATTACAGGTGCCCACCCCTACGCCCAGCTACTTGTTTTTTTGTATTTTTAGTAGAGACGGGGTTTCACCATGTTGGCCAAGCTGGTCTCGAACTCCGGGCCTCAGGTGCTCCACCTACCTCAGCCTCCCAAAGTGCTGGATTACAGGCATGAGCCACTGCGCCTGGCCACTCCAGTTGCATTTCTTTATGCCCCCGCCCCCCGCTCTCCCCGCATTGCCTTTCCTTCCATTACCAGGCACATTGTAGTGCTCAATGCATATTCGTTAATAAGAGCCAGCAGGTCAGCGTGCCCAGGGCAGATGCCTGTATTAGAAAGGCAGCCGCAGCCTCTCCTGACTGGACTGTCAGCCCTCCCAGGAAGAGCACTGGAAGGTCAGTTCAACCTAAAGAAGACCTCTGTGTTCACATGGCATAGAAACATTTGGAAAACTCACCTGTAAAATGGGAATAGTGTTAGTACTTACTTTCTCTTTCATGGAATAGCTATTGGGAAGGACTCCGTAGATCCTTCATTTGCTGCATTCTACCTGCCCGTCTCTATATGGCGGGGGCTGTGCTCAGTGCTGCTGTACACTGGGGAGCAGCCCAAGGTCTTGGCTTCATGGGGCCTACAGCTTAAAGGAGCACGGGTTGGGTTTATGGCAGCCATTCTTTGTTTTGTTTTGTTTTGTTTGAGACAGAGTCTTGGTCTGTCGCCCAGGTTGAAGTGCAGTGGCGTGATCTCAGCTCACCGCAACCTCCGCCTCCCGGGTTCAAGCAATTCTCTTGTCTCAGCCTCCCGAGTAGCTGTGATTACAGGCACACACCAGCACACCTGGCTAATTTTTTTGTATTTTTAGTAGAGACAGCATTTCACTATATTGGTCAGGCTGGTCTCGAACTCTCAACTCAGGTGATCCACCCACCTTAGCTTCCCAAAGTGCTGGGATTACAGGCATGAGCCACCGCGCCCAGCCTGGTAGCTGTTCTTATAACCCATGAAAGGAGTGGCCTGAAAAATTTATCACAGATTCCCTCTGCTGAACGAACTGTGCTTATAAAATAACCCCCTTGAATTGAACAGTGTTTAAAGCAGTTGTCCGTATGCGGTCTTGTTTAATCCTTCATTTAGTAGATTATCTCACTGTTTTGAAGATGAGGAAATTTCAACTTGGTGAGAGGAAGCATATCCTCAAGGTCAGCAAAGCCAGGTGGCCTGGGCCCCTCCAGTGGGATGCAGAACCCAGGCCTTGATCCTAGTGGACACAGAGTTTCCAAGAGGCTCTTCCCGCACATCAGGGTCCCAGGCTGGAGGCTGGAGGAGCTGGTGGTGGTGGTCTGCGCTGATGTTCTGGTCAGCACAGGGGGCGTTCTCCTCCTGGAGTAAAAGGCTGGCTCAGTGAGTTTCGATGTCCCCGCCCACAGGTGGCTTCAAGACTGTGGGTGGCCATCCTCTGGAGAGTTTCCCCAAGTGGCTGCCTGGTCCACCCAGACCTGCAACCTGGAGTCTCCATATGGAAGAGAGTTTGAAACGTTCTGACCAGCACCTCAGAGCACCTGCTTTGAGAACGCTTCCCTGTGGGAGCCTCGGGGTGGGGGGAGTGGCAGCTCTGGCGAATTAAAATCCCCGTCCATCCATCCCTGCACTGGCAGGTGGGGGCCCTGGGCGGCCAGCACCCGGCAACCCTCTCTGTGTCTGATTGCAGGGAACATCGAGTACAGCTGCCCGGCCACCAATGAGTGCGAGATCACCAAACGGAGGCGCAAGTCCTGCCAGGCCTGCCGCTTCATGAAATGCCTCAAAGTGGGGATGCTGAAGGAAGGTAAGAGGCCCCACTGAGTTGGGGTTTGCCGTGAGGCTCTGCTTCCTGGGGAGTTTTCATTCCCTGTGAGACACCCACAAGCCACGGATCTGTGTCCCAGGGTGAGACCCAGTCTGGGCGCCCATCTCCTCCCACACCCTGCCAGCCTGCCACGGCGCCTGCGTGGCTCTCCTCCTTTAAGGAGGTGGGAATTGGAATTTCTCCATTAAGGGTCTTTCAGAATCCCTGACCCCAGCTGGGCCCCAGACAGCTGGCCTGGCACTCTGGGAAGGCCCTCCTTTAGGGGCAAACCCCACCTCCACCCTAGGAGGGGTAGGCTTAAGAGGCTGTTATATCCCCCAGCACCCTTGAGGGCTCGGGGGTGGAAAGGACAGACACATTAAGGCCAGGAATGATAAATAATGTTCCCTTCAGCTGTGAAGAATGGCATTTGTTTTCTGGTGGGTGGACAGGACATGGCTCTTGCCTTGGAAATGCTGGTCGCTTCCTTGTTCCCTCTCTTCCCATGCTCTCCCTTCCCTCTCCTTTCTCTCCCTGTGTCCTCTGTCTCTAGAGCTGTGCTGTCTAATATGGCAACCACAAACTACACGTGGCTTCCGAGCGCTGGTCCAAACAGAGGTGTGCTCAGTGTACAACACATACCCGCTTTAGAGGACTTAATAGGACCATTAAAAGCAGTGTAAAGTCTGGTGGTGATAATTTTAAAAATGTGATTGCATGCAGAAAGGCTAATCTTCTGGACACGTTAAATAAAACATTGTGAAATTAGCATCAGATACTTCTTTTTATCTATTCTTCAATGTGGCTACTAGAAAATTTGAAATGACACGTAGCTCTCATTGGGACAACTGCTCCAGATCTCCTCTTCCTCGCTTTCTCTATTGATTTGCTCCTTTTTTTATATTAAAATATTATCAGTAGAGGCAAGGTCTTGTCATGTTGCTCAGGTTGGTCTCCAACTCCTGGGCTCAGGCAGTCCTCCCACCTCAGCCTCCTAAAGTGCTGGGATTACAGGCATGAACCACTGTGCCTGGACGATGTTTTTAGTTTGAGGAACCTCGTTCAGTACCATTTTGGGGATGGGTTGTGAGTGTATGTGGTTTCCCTGCTTCTCCAGCTTCCAAGGGGAGCCAGTGACAACTCTTAGAGATCAGCTTTTAAGCTCTGGGCCTGGAATCCTTCTAGAAGAGAGAGGAAACAGGAAAAGAGGTGTGTAGGGGTGATCAGAAGGGGCTACAGAGAGAACCAAAGGACAGGTCTGGAATGCAGACCCTGGAGGGGGAAGGCTGGGAGTGGGCATCTGGAAGCCCAGCCCAGCCTTGAGAGCCCCAGGGCAGTCCTCCTATCCCCTCTCCCAGGGCCCTCCGAAGATGAGGGCCCAGACCTAAGATGCTTTGTCAGAACAACTTGGACCGTCATGTGCTATAGAAATTGGACCTTCCACTTCCGTTTACCACTTCCAGGTCCCCCACTTCACCTCAGCTCAGCCCAGCACCTATATCCATAAAACAGAAGCTCTTGAAGCAGACCCTCGGCGGCCTTTGTGTCGACATGGCACACTGGCTTTTAAAATGCTCCTCATTCAGGGCTTCATTTAACCCCTTTGTGATGGAGCGGACCACTCAGCTCTTAGACAGGCCAGCTGCTTCGTTAGGAGCTCAACCGAAAAAACAGTCTCCTTTCCAGATTAAAAATGGGCCACATCCTGTGGAAAGCCTGTCTGTTAGTTCATTTTTGACTCTATATAATTTTGGTCTTGCTCCTGGATAGGATGATCCAAACTGGTGGCTGAACTGGGTCCCCTGACTCCTATGCCAGGCTCTTTCTGCTCCTTCAGAGCCTCCTGGTGTTCACAGATGGGAAAATTGAGGCACAAAGGCCCAGAGAAGCATGCCTGAGTGCTGGTCTCTCGACTTTCCTCTCTGTGTGGTGCTGGGAATCTGAGGGTTTCTAAGCTTTGGAGACTCATTTATTCCTCTTAAGCCCTAGAGACGGAGCTGCTTGACCTGTTGTTCTCACATCCAGAGACGAAGCTGGATGTGAGAACAGCAGGTCAAGCAGAGGGCCAGGGGCCACTTGGTTGCAGCGTGCAGCCTCCCTTCCTACTTGACAGTATCCCAGGTACTTAGAGCAGCCAGAAGCCTCACTGTTTTCAATATAGCCCTGAATTTTACAGGTGACAAAATGGAGCCCTGCAGGAGCTGGGGTGAGATGACTCCCACTCTCAGTCACACATTCATTTGAGGGGAGCTGGGCCCAGGGGCTGGAACTTTCCTTGCCCTGTTCAGTGTCTGCTCCCCATGGCACAGGGCAGGGATGGGGGAGGGCCAGAGGGGACCCCCACTCAATTCCTGGACCATCTCGTAACACGGAACAGAGTCTCTTTGGGGGCTATGCAGGGCTGGGAAGACAGAAGGGCACTTTCTAGTGGCTTCCCAGGAAGCAGGAGATGGTGAGGGGTGCACTGATGGCAGGAAGGGAGATGGTGAGGCCCACAATTGCCCGGTGGCCACTCAGACATCCAGACTGGCACTCGTCAGAGAAACGAGGTGGACACTGTGTGTCCCAGGATGATGGTATTGGGGGTACTGGGAGGACAGAGGCATGAGACCCCTGCTGCCTCAAGTGGGCAGGACGTGCAGGGGACGCCTCAGTGTTGACACCCCTGCCCCGCTACAAATATAGCCCTTTGGTTGATGTCCTTTACCCAGAGTGGCGGCTGGGGCCTCCCAGGCAGACATGCTGAGCCCGAAAAGGCCCTTTAAGGAGCTCTGCCTGAAGAAGGAAGGGACAGCCACAGGAACGCTCCCTCCCCTACTCCCCCCCAGTGCTGGCAGGTCCAGATCCAAGAGCAGGGAGATGACATAAAAGCTCCCGAGTGTGGACAAAGCAGAGAGCCACGTTTAGTTTCTGTCCCCTGCAGGGCCTTGGAGAGATCCTGGGATCTGAAGCTCCGTGGGGACCGACCCCCTTAGGAGGAGCATGCCTCCTTCAACAGCCTGGGCCCCTGCCAGGTAGGGGCTCTTGGCAGCTGCCTGGCTTGGCTTTTGTTTGGGGGTCCCTCTTGGCTCTGCAGGCAAGGCCCAGGCCCCCCGAGACCAGCATGGGCTCATTGCCCACCTCAGACTCTGACGGGACTCTGAAAGGCGGACTTCACCTTCCCCAGGGCTGCTCCTCCGCGTTAGGGTCCCACAGTGGGCCTCTGTTGCTGGGGGGGGGTTGGGGGGCCAGGGGCTTGGGGAGGGCTGCAGAGGGAGAGATGTGGGTGCCTCCGCCCTCTCTGCTCCCCTCACCTGCACGTCTGAACACCACCCTCCCCCGCATCCAGCCACACTCTCCTTGTGTTTTATGATTTTTCCTTTCTTAGGTAAAATAATCAGAGATCGTTTCCCAATTTGGGGGCCCAGCAACAGCCACAGAAGAGATCAGACTTGGGCTTTCTCTGGCTCTCCCTCTCAAGACTGCTCAGCTCAGGGATCTAAGCTTTTCAGATTCCTCACATGGTTGGGACAGATCCTATGGCCACCTCCCTGTGACTTTCTCCCTGGAACATGCAGAGCAGACCGTGGAAAGCAGGAGATGTCCAAAGGCCTATCTTGCTTTAAGCAAATCTAGTACATAAAAATCTGTATTTTCAGAGAAAAAGTAATTTTTCTCTTTTAAAAATTGAATACAAAATCTGGGTTAGGAGTTGGTGGCCTGTGTTCTGCCCCTGGTTATTAGGTATTTCTGCCCATGTAATTTTTTTTTTTTCTTTTGAGACGGAGTCTCGCTCTGTCGCCAGGCTGGAGTGCAGTGGCCTCCTCCACCTCCTGGGTTCAAGCAATTCTCCTAAGTAGCTGGGACTACAAGCGCGCACTACCGTGCCCAGCTAATTTTTTGTATTTTTAGTAGAGATGGGATTTCACCATGTTGGCCAGGATGGTCTCAGTCTCTGGACCTCATGATCTGCCCGCCTCAGCCTCCCAAAGTGCTGGGATTACAAGCGTGAGCCACCGCCCCCGGCTGCCATTTAATATTATTACTCACACCCACATGCTTCCATTTCTTCACTGTAAAACAGGGATCTTCATACCTGCTCTCCGGCACTGGTCAAAGTGGGGACCTGGGACAGATGGGACAGCTCCTCTTGGCAGAATCCACTGTGGGATTGCTTTGCAATGTCAGCTCCCTTGATGTGTTAAAATACTCCAGTGTTTGATTCAAGCTGGGTGTGGTGGCTCACAGCACTTGGGGAGGCCAAGGTGGGCAGATCACCTGAGGTCAGGGGTTCAAGACCAGCCTGGCCAACATGGTGAAATGCCCTCTCTACTAAAAATACAAGAATTAGCTGGGCGTGGTGGCACACGCATGTAATCCCAGCTACTCTGGAAACGGAGGCAGGAGCATTGCTTGAACCCAGGAGGCAGAGGCTGCAGTGAGCTGAGACTGCATCACTACACTCCAGACTGGGTGACAGTGCAAGACTCTGTCTCAAAAAAAAAAAAAAAAAAAAATTCTAGTGTTTGATTCAAAGACACCGCCATTTACAGTCAGCTTTTCATCAGTGTGCCCCTTGTGTCGGGAGAGGCAGACTGGTGTCTGGCCGCCCTGATTTGCTTCCTGGATTTGTTGGTAGGAATCTTAAAAGGTGGCCTTGTCTTGGGCTGGTCCCCACTGTGGGTTCTAGAATCAGGATGGGCAGCTCCCCCGGTAGTCAGCCTTTGCAGCCTGGCTAGGGTGTGGACTGACTCAGCCCCTAATCCGGAAAAGCCCTGGAAAACCACTAACTGCATTTCCTAGGGGGCTTCCCAAGTCCTCAGTGCAGCTGTGGGACTTCAGTGATTCTCTCTAGACAGCCCGTCCCTGCCAACTTCACCTCCTCCTCACCTCACGTCCCTCATGTGACCAGCCTCTCAAGTCCGCTCCACTTCTCCCCCACTCAGCCCCTGCCTGCCTTTCCCCAAGTGTTTTCTAAAAGATATTTGATTTCAGTGAAAGCTGGGCTGACATCCATGCAA